ATTCTATGATTTATAGATTTATAATATTGTGTCAGATGATGAAATAGTCTAGTGATATGCAGCACTAAAAATTAATATTTTTAATTCCTGAATATATTGTACCAGGCATTGGTTTCTCCAGGTGTAAGTTGAAGGAGCATTACATCCCTTATGAAGGAATGTACAGCAGTCTTTTCCCTTCCTGTGCAATGTAGCTGCATAAATTTTACTCCTAAAATGAAACTCTTTTTATGCATATTGGTTTTACCAATATAGGGAACCACAGTTTTCCTTGTCTGTAAAAGTTTCTAGAGAAAAACGCTCATGTTTTTATTTGTAAGCACACAGTGTCATTTTACATTTAAATGTACATGTCCACAGAAATCTGTGATACTCCACTCTCACTGGAATACTTTATTAAATTTCATCCAGTTACACTGTAAAAAAAAAAAAAAAAGAAAAAAAAAAGGCAGAACAAAACAGGATTCAGTGAAATTCAGAGACAAGAATAGAAATATGTCATGAGGCATTTAGTCTGCCTTGAAGAAAGTCATAAAAGTTTGGCATTAAGAGAAAGATGAAAGAATGGATGTGCAGTAGGTTTTCATATTATAAGCAGAAAGGGGCAGATCAAATATTACTTTAAAAAAAACCCTGGTATTAATGGAACCCATTGCCACAAGGTGTCACTCATGTCAGTAGCTTAGTGTTCCCTGGCTGAAAGAGGGCACTCACAGTTGTCGCTGTATGGACTACTAGCCTGCTGTTGGAGGGCATAAGCCAACCAGCCTTTCTCTGGGAGATGTTAGATGGGGGGAACTTTTTTTTATTTGCTGGAAGCCACTGTGTATGTTCTCGTGTGCATCTTGTGCTGCCAGAATCCACTGATCTGCCCAGCGTCACAGGTGCTAAATTTGCATTTGTTCATTCGTAAGTTGTACTTAATCATCAAAGGATCTGGCTGGCCCATGAATGTTGCCCTGATCTAAGCATGCCATGAATTCAAATACAAAATTTGTGGCAGAGGTGCCTATCTTCTGAATTTTCCCACAAGTACAACATACCTCTTGCTTGAGACAATCCTTACAATTCTGCCTGTGGCTTCTTACAGAGCTCAACTCACATTGATCGACGCTCTATGCCTGCTATGGGCTACATGACACATACTGTGAGTGCACCCAGTTTGCACGGCAAGTCGGTAAGTTGAGAGAGCAGTTACTTTTCCTTTTGTGTCATCGTAGTATTGTAGTTAAGTTTTAAAATCCTGCTCATTCCGTAGTAGTTGTATTTTTATTAGTTAAAACATGAAGAACTTGAATGAGAACTTAAGATTAACTAGTAAAGCTCCCAGTAAAGCCTGTAGGAATTTTGCTGTTACCTGCAACGTGAACAGGGGTGAGCTGTCTGTTATTACAGGATTCAACTTTTATTATGTTTATTTGACAAAACGCTGAGTTAATTAAATAATTGCTTAATCATGTCAAGTAACTGCTTTCTGGGCACTGAGGTGAAAAATGTAATTACAGTTACTCTCCCTGAAGACTGCTAATTTCCTCTTTACAATGTGTCTAAATACCTGCAGCCTGAAGAGCTAACATTGCTTCTCATTCGATTAAGGAGACATCAGGCTAAGTTGGCTAGTATACGAAATTACACAATCGCACAATTACTGCAGCACTTGCCACCTAATTCCACCTATCAGGTCAGCTGCTGCTTGGCTCATCTGTGCCGTATGACATTTTGTGACTCTGCAAATGCTTCATTAGTGGCATGCTTGAGTCTGTGCTTTCTTGCCCATTCTTTGGTATTCTATAGTTCCCAGGTCATGTGCAGTTTTTCTTTGCTACTGTATTTGCTATAAAAGATGAGCGTTTTAAGTTATAGGACACCAGTGCATATGTTTCAAAGTGTTAAGTATAATTTCTTTTTATACTATTTCTGAAAATGCTGCATCTTCAGAAATGAAGGTTAAAATATTAGATAACGCAAAACCATATTAGATAACGTTCATTCTAATGCAAAACCATTTCTTTGTGCTGCTTTCATAATGGGGTTGGCTCCCTGTCCACATGCTACGTCACCTGCAAATTGAAATGCATCAGCCAGATTGTACATCCGTATGAGCTTGTAACTTTGTCGGTTCTGCAGGTGAATGTTGGTTCATAAAAGCTCATGGGCATCTTGGATCATCAACAGTGCTCTTGATTGCACCGATGTGTGAAACTTGTAAATGTGAGATCAAACAGGAATGTACTTAGAGCTCTTTGGTTCATATTAGAGCCTCAAAAATGGAGCCGTCTGGGAATAAAATGTGGTGACTTCTTGAAACTGGTGAAGGCTTTATATATGCCCCAGACTACCTCACCTACAGAACAATTGCACTAAGATGGGTAATAGTAACAGGGATTTCTCCAAAAATGGACAGACTTTCTAGTCAAGTCCTCAGCCAGACTTACAAGCTGATCAGACAAGAATTGTAAGTGAACACCTCTAAAGAAATGCACAAGTGATGTATTGATTTGATGGCATAAAGGATTTTTCTTTTCTTTTTTTTAACTACACATTCTCATTGGCTCAAAACTTGAGAAAAGGTATAGTTGTGTTTTTCTTTTATTCTGAAGTTTAATGTACCCAGGATATAAAGTCCTGTCAAAATAGCAGTAAAAATTCTAGGAATTTTGGGGCATTTTGGCTGATTACAAAGCACATTTGCAACAGTTAAGCTTTGTTGTGTATTGCAAATGTCTCTTTTGAAAAAAGGACAAATAACTTTGTTATGACTTCTGTACATGCTTTTCTTGAAGCGACTGTAATGAAGATGTTGCTACATGAATGTAACTATAAAATTAAGCTGATAGCAATTACAGGTGAGCCAATGAAAAATAAGGGTCAAGTTAATTGCTATTACTTAAAAGGGAGAATGGATTCTCTAATCATATAAGTGAGATCTTTTTCAGTATTTTATTCACAAAACGTATTTTGTACTTTTCCTGAATAAAGGAATTCATATCTTAAAATGTGTATGAAATGTGATCAAAAGTATTCTAATGATTTGCTATATAATGGCTTCTAGTTACATCTGATGTTCGGTTAGGTACAAGTCTCTTTTCTCCCAAAAGGACATATTATGCTGGAGGACAACACCATAACATTTTCAGTGAGGAGACAGTCAGTATAAATCAGTCTTGGAAAAAAATAACTTTTGAAAATCTATTGTTTCAGGTAGTTATGTATCTCATTTGAGGTGGAAAACTCAAATCTGTGTGTTTGGAGGGTGGGCATGAGGTAGTAATATTCTTGGGAAATATTTTGCCCATTTTTCATCTGTAAATAGCAATATGCTGGTGGAGCAAATGTGCTTTTTTATGTACTTCCCACTCTGTTATTTTGTTTCCTCTTTCATCCATTTTCTTATATATAGCCAATCCAAGTATTTTGAAATTGTTTCAAACTTTCAAATACATTGCATTTTTTTTTACCCTATGTACTTACCTGAAGGCGGATGACACTTATATCCAGTTGAAAAAGGATTTGGAGTATTTGGATCTAAAGGTAAGATTTTACAGGAGTCTACTTCCATTACGTTTTTAACCAGTGATCTTTTGTGTATCATCTCTGTATACACAGGTTTTCAAATCACCTTCTGTTCAGAGATGGAAACTCCATGTCTTTTGCCATCACTGTTGTGCTTAGAATATTGAGTATCTTTATAGTAGTGACTATACAATTAAAGTGCAAACTCAGAAAATGTAGTTGCTTCAGTTTGTAGGAAGAACTTGTGTTATTGGTACTCCAGATGAATGATATAATGTGGGTTTAGTGAAATCAGATAAAAAAACCTGATTCAAAATCTGTCTGCTGTAGCGTTAGAACCAATATGAAGTCAACTCTTCTATGTTAAAACGGTGTTCCTTTAATCCAGCTTTTTCCCTTTAAATCTTCTTGAGCTGACTTTTTCCTTATTTTTATAATATGCCGTATTTATAATGTCTTGCTTTCTTGTAAAAAAAGTGGTGATTAATTAGCACCTGTCCTTGTTTTCATATTATTACAGCTAAGAGATTTCAAAGGCAGCCATTCATCCATCCATCCGTAGATACAATCTGCCCAAACAATGTTACCTGATATTTCCTTTGGGAAAAAAAAAAAAAATTGAAAATATCTTGGGCATCAGAGCATCTGTCTAAACTAAATTACTTCTGTATCTGGTGCACCTGATAGTTTGCAATTTGAAAGCAAATCTAGACTTATTAATAGCAGGTTTAGAAGGAAAAAAAACCCCAAAAATGTATAATTATTTTGCTTAGCAAATCAGTCTACCACCTTCTATGATGTGTGGGATGTCTCACCATATATAAATCATGTGGTGTTTCTGAAAATCAAAGTACAATGAAGGTTCACACCTTGTTAATCTCGTTGTTTGCGGGTACATAGTTCCGACTGATGCCATGGGGCATTGCATATGTGCAACTAATGAACTGACTGGACCTATTAGTATGTGGATTTCCGTTTTATCTGATGTTTTAATGGCTGAATATATAATCAAATATATCAATGGAAAATACTAGTAATACATATTACACATATGTATAGTGTCATCTATAATATTTATCACATAATATATGTGGTATATATAGTCTAAATGATCAAATATGTAAACTGATGTAACCATTAATACATGAACTTAAAATTGGTTGGACGCATTTCGTTTTAGACTGTTTTCTTGGTTTGTTCATGACTTTGCCACACATAACTGCATCCCAAGCCATTGGCTGAATTTTATGCAAATTTCAATGTGACAAGTCAACAACTTGAGAAATTTTTGATAAACACGGTGCTTTATCCATTATAAAACACAATAGTTTTCACAGTTAAAAATGGCCACATTTTAAGCCTCTGAACGTGTTACGGGTTTAGAATGGGTTTTTAACTTGTTAGTGGATTCCATCTGGATTGATTTGTTGCAGTCTGGGACACGAAGAGCTGTTTGGTCTCCCAGGAGCTCCCCTTGTGCCTTCCTGCAGCCTACATAGCACCTGACAGAAGGAGCCAGAAAGAGGAATGTATGGGGGCTCCTGATCTTTCTATGAAAAGAAACTTAATCATAGAATGGTTTGGGTTGGAAGGAACCCCAAAGATCATCTAGTTCCAACCCCCCTGCCATGGACGGGTGCACTCTCTACTACACCAGATTGCCCAAAGCCCCATCCAGCCTGGCCTTGAACACTTACAAGGAGGAGGCATCCACAGAGACCATCCTTATCGTAAAGCATTTCTTCTTTATATCTAGTCTGAATCTACCCTCTTTCAGTTTAGAACTGTTACTGTTTGTCCTATCACAAGAGGCCCTGCTAAAAAGTCTCTCCCTGTCTTTCTTATTAAGCCCCCTTGAAGTATTGAGAGGCCACAATAAGGTCTCCCCAGAGCCTTCTCTTCTCCAGGCTGAACAAGCCCAACTCCCTCAGCCTGTCCTCATAGGAGAGGTGCTCCATCCCCCCAATCATGTTTGTGGCCCTCCTCTGGACCTGCTCCAACAGGTCCCCATGTCTTTCTTGTACTGGGGCCCCCAGAGCTGACCACAGTACTCCAGGTGGGGTCTCACCAGAGCAGACTAGAGGGCAGGATCACCTTCCTCATGTGAAAGGTGTTGGATCAACTTCCTTCCTCTTGAGAAGGTGTCTTTGTATTGATTTAATTTGTGTTTGCCACTAAATATAAATTACTGAAGAGATGTTTTGTTTTGCAGTGAGAGGAAAAAAAAGAGTAGGGTGCTGGATGAAACTAAGCAAATTATGTATTGATTTGATAATGGTGGAAAATGGCGAATTTGCACTTAATATACGTGGTACCTTTCATTTAAGACACTGACGTCTTAGATAGCAAGCCATTTAATCCATATCTTTCTTTTGATTTCACTGGGCTTTCAGTCAGACCCACTCTGAACAATTTCAAATAGGACTTGAAGATTTTGGAACTGGAGTTAAACTTTTTTTCTTTTCACTAAATCCATTATTTCTGAAGATCTCTCTTCCTAGAGGCTTTGAAGTGTAACTTTTCAGTATGGAATAGTGATTAAGCAATTAACTGCGTAATGTATGCCACAGTACTGAAACTGATTGCAGTAACTGGTTACACAGCATTTAGTAATTTGTCATTACATGTTTCGTCCCCCCCTTGCTCTTATCCTTTTATACTAGCTTATTTTTTATTATTAGGGAGTTTAAAAATATTCTCTAAGAAATAATTCTTGATGTTAATACCGAGATGATGATGATATTGTTAAACATTATAGTGTATTGTTGTAACATAAGTAAATTAAAAAAGCTCTAGAGAGCATCCATTTCAATAGTTTTCTCCTGAATGGAAGCTAGTTCTGACATAAAAATAGTCTACAGGCTGTTTATTCACACTATGAGAAACGATTATTGATAATTTTGAGCTTGCCAAATACCATGTGTTGTGGTTTCCTTTAACAATATTGCCCTTAGATTATAAACTCTTCCTCCCCACTTCCCCCCCCCCAAAAAATTGTTTCAATGACTTTGCATTGTTTTTTCAATCATGAACTAGAAGTACGTGGAGCATGAAAGAAATGGTGTATCTGTATGCTGTAGCATAACCATGCCTCTTCTGCAAACAGACTTCCACAGTTGTTTTTTTTTCTCTAAAGTGGATAGACCATGTATTAGAAAAGCAGAAAGGAAGAGCAAGGAAAGAAAAACTTTATTTTCCCCACAAGCTTCTAAGATGACTTTGCAAATAAGGTGAAACACAAGTGGTGAAGGAAGCTTCCCTTTTCTTGACTGTGAAATCAAGCTCAAGCAAGCTACAGGAGGGATGGATGGGCAGCCTCACTTCAGAAGAGTTTACAAACATTCCCAAGCTGGTTATACAGAATATGGATGAGGAAGTCTAGTAAAGTTTGTGTCACTAAGTATAAATTGTGCAATGAGTTGAAGCAAATCTGAGGCCCTCTCAGTGGTTTAACAGTAGTCCTGCTTCATTCTCCTGCAGTCATACTGTAATATCTGAAGCTGTTCAGTTTCTACTGCAGTTGAAAGGGTTTGCTAGTGCAAGCTTGTGCCACATAGATAATGAAGGAAATAGGGCATGGCAGGTATTTGTTATGGGAGGAAGGGTAAGTGTGATCAACATAACTTTTTTCACTGAGGTTTTAACTAAGTTGCTCAAATTATCAATATAGAACTCTTGGTGCAAGTGTTACTATGTATTACGTGACAGAAAATATCTTGCTGTAATTCCCAATGCTTTTGAAACTGCAGTTGGGCAAGTCTGAGCAAATCCTGTTTTGTATTGTGTGTTTGTATGTGTGTTTTGCAAAGGTAAAAAAGTCTTATGGTTGGATGAACAATCGACCCACAAAATAAAAAGATAGGTAGATATCCAGCTGTAGCTTCTGTAATGACGAATTATATAGACTATAAACCTCAAGGATCGGTGTGACATAAGAGCCTGTGATAACTGCTGCTCATGGAGTTTTGAGTTGTAATGTTTGGGGGTTTTAATTTTTACATCTATAACAAGCTATTACTAAACTTTTGTTTGAAACAGATAGAAAATAATGGACCTCTGATCAACATGATATACAAAGTGCTAAAGAACTCAGCACAAGGGTTACTATCCAGTATACATGTAAGACTGCTTGCATCTGAAATGTGCTCATCCCATTGCTTTTTTAAAATAGCAGTCAATGTTTACATATTCTGGCTTTTACAGGTGTCTTATAGTAAACAGTAAAGCTCTCTGTAAGTTTTTTTTTTTTCCCCCTTTTTTTTTTTTTCCCCTTTTGGAGTCTGTATGCAAAATTATGGCTGACCTCAGTGTTTGGTTTCATTTTATCATGTTTTGAAAATGATTGTGGCAAGTAGTGACTCCTATGTATAATTTTGAAAATGTGAAAGCATGCTAAATCGTCATTATGTTCTCATGTTCACTGCTTGATAACAAATTATTTACAGTTCTGAGTATGTAACTTAAAACACCCCCAAAACTCTGGGTTTTATGTTCATTCCATTGCTTTGTAAAAGGCTTTTGTATTCTCTTAGCTTGCAGGTAATTAAATATGCAAAAGAATTACTTTGACATGCTAGTATTTATGCCTATACTTAATTATTCATTACTACCATACATAGGATTTAACATTTAAATAATTCCATTAATACTTTTGAAATAAAGAATTTTTCTTCTACAAAACACATCATTGTTGAAAATGAACATATCTGAAAACTGGAAGTTTTAAGAGGCAGTAAATGCTTTTGATTTTGGTGGTAGGGAAGTAACATTTCACTGCATGAAAACACATGGTAAGTGTTTGAATGGAGTTTGCCCTTGGAGGAGAGAAGACAGTAAACATAAGTGATGACCATGCTCATCTGTCTTAAACCTACTTTTGTTATTTGAAAATACTATGTGTAGATGACTAACTTCATATAACGTGTTAAATGAGAAACTGAGGTTGTATACAGGATTTATCTACACTTACAGTAAAATTTAATGACTTTAAGAAAGCTAGCATGATCCTGTAGGTGCTGTTAGGTTAATAAGTAAACTATGTAGCTTCAAGTCTGGAGATTGCCGGAGTCAATAAAAAAGCAAACTACCGTTTCTACTCAGCCAAAAAAACTAACAACTTCTGCTCTTATATTATTAAAGACAATATTTAGGTTAATTTTTCTTCATAAACTCTTGCCTGTATTTGAATAGAAATATACTATATATGAGTACTGTAATTCTAAACATTAGGTGTTTCTTTGGTAAGATAGTATTTGCTTTAATGAATCTTTTAAAATGTTCTAATCTAGTAATATTAAGTAATTAGATTTTAAGGCTTTTAAAACCTGTATGATTAATGAGCTGTATTATATTGCTATGCTCTTAACTTCATTTATTCACAAAAAGGGTCCCATATAGACAGTGGAAATAATAAACTTTCCTAGAGATAGACATGCCTTTGTTTTAAGGTTCCCATGAAGGATGTACAATATAGTTTCTGTACTGATTTAAAAACTGAGTTATGTGAGAAGATAATCTTCTCACCAGAAATTGGATATGAAACAAGTGATTTATGCAATGAGAGATTTGTAATATTACAAATATGTCAAAGTAGATTAATTACATTTAATTCCACTATAGCAGTTTTATAGCGGTCTGTTTTTAATAAAATTCACTCTGTACTATGAAATTCACTCTGTACTGTGGAAGAGACTATCCTTTGTAGAATTAAATAGTTGCCAAAAAGTTGTATTTTTAGGCATTAATTAATGCTGCTGTTCTTGCAACTGTGCATATAAAGGAATTATTCAAATCCTTTGGCTTCAAGAAAGCTATTAAAGGCCAACTGTTAAGACTAGGTTTTGCAGGAACAGGACCTTTGTAACCATAGACAAGTGGGATTATGCTTTTTTGTACAGAATCTTAAGCTACTGTAAGAGTTATTAAATAGCCTAATATAACTAGTAATCCTTTCTGATAACGTTTTTTAAAAACTAAAGCCATATTTGAAGAAACTTGTATCCAAAATTTTATTCATCTTTGTTAATAACTGAGAATTTTTAACAAAATTTAGCTTTTCATTGTTGAAGCATAATTAGGTTTTGGTTTGCAACAAATTTCTCAGATCTTTAAAACCTATTCCTCTTAGGTGACAGGGCGTGACACGTTAAAAGAACGAAGTACAAAACCTGTCAAGATTGCAGAAAGTGATATTGATGTAAGTATCAAACACCACTTCAGAACCTCTTCCATTGTTTTGGCTATTTATCTTGTCCTGTTTTGTGTTCACTTTATTGTGCTCTTTGGGGTAAAATACTGCTCGTGGAGATTTTTCTGCTTGGTTTTTAAAATCTAACATCATACATGATTTCATTTTCAGGTCAAGCTAAGCGTTTTCTGTGAGCAGGACAGAATTCTGCAGGACTTGGAGGACAAAATAAGAGCCCTTAAAGAAAACAAAGTAAGTAGATTGTAAAGTTTTTTATAAAATAAAATAACAATTTTCCTTAATCTTAAAATAGAAAATTCCAAACAAAAAAATCACATTACTGGATGCTGTTTGCATTGCAGTAGTTCTCTTTGGACATGCATATAAACTTAAGAAATAAGAATTGTTTTTTATTTTAGGATTGAGTACCCACTTTTAGAAAGTATGTTTTTGAAAATGAATGTTTTAAAACCACATACATTTAATTTTCTGGCATTTATTACAAATTTGGGTACGTACACTTTTCTGTGTAGTTTTGCTTTATGTCTTTATATGTATATGGTGTGAGGCAGAGTCACATTTCATTTGCAGTTCTCACCTGCACAATCATTGTTTGCATAAATAGCAGAGTGCTACCATATTGAGCTCTCACTTTAACTTGTGTTGTGGGTTGTTGATTTTGTGTTAGGTTTTTTTGGGGGGGTTGATTGTTTTCTTTTCTTTTTTTTTAAAAAAGAGGGGTGGCAGAAGGGAGAGAGATTCACATTTGTAGTCATTTCAGAAACCTATGCGAGTTTATATATAGTACTGTGGATTTAGTTCTGAGGGTTATGACTGAAATGCTGGAATATCTTCTGTGACAAGTTCGTAGTTGGAACCCACCTCCTTTCTTCCATGCATATTCAAGTCAGAGTTCAAATAGTAAACAAAACCAAAATGGTTTGCCTTTCCTTGTCTTTCCTTGCCTCTGTGTATCTTTATCTGCTCCACTGCCTATGAGCTATAGCTGTCAATAAATTGAAGTGGTTCAGAAAAAAAAAAAAAAAAAATCTATGAAAGTACTTTCCAGATGGATCCTTCAGAAGAGCTACTGTGCAAAAATGATTGTGTTATTTAGTCCTGATGGAATGAATCGGACCTACTTAGTGATTTACAATATTTTAATCCCACACGTGGCTAATTTAACTGCAGCAGCAAATGAGAACCTATTCTTAAATAAATAGCTAATGCTGTGCTGTGGTAGGGCTGTCATGATTCTATAGCGCTTAAAGGAATTTTTCTGAAACTGTAAATTATGGGTTTGTACAGACTGCAAAAAGAAAAATTCACCTCACTGCTTTGTGTTTTCCACAGTTTTGGCTACTTAATGGAAAGATTTAATGGCAAGTATCAAATAATGTTGGTTATAATAGTTTTAATTAAGGCTCTTGCACTTTTTTGTTTACATCTTAGTCTCGTCACCAGGATGCCAATCCTATCCTCCAGTGGCTTATAGGAAAGACTGAGACTCTGGAAAACAACTTTTATTTTCCTGCAGGTAGATCCATAAAATTCCGTGTAAATGTTGTAAGCTTACTGCCATCATCTTCCTTGTTAGGATCAGCTGGAGTCTGTTTTGGAGGTTTTACACAGGCAGATGGAACAGTACAAAGACCAACCACAACACGTAGAAAAAATTTCTTACCAGCAGAGACTTTTGCAAGAGGATCTTATACATATTCGGGCTGAAATATCCAAAGTTTCAACGGTATGTGGTTTTGGTTGTTTCAGGAAAATTATAGTTAGAATACTAGTTAAAGTAAAACTGTATTGTTCATTGGATAGGGGAGTTAAGTCCTGTTCTGAACTGATGTGGTTAAGGTACAGGATACTAAACCAGAACAAAAAAATTTAAACAATCTCTCTAGTTTTCCTTTTCAATGCCTTCTTTCTATCCACCCCCCACCTCCCCCCAAAGCTAAAAAAAAATAAAATAATTTTTTATACCTTTTTCATTCATGTATGGGGCTTAAATTGCAAATATTTCAGCTAGTCCTTTGAAAATACAAATGTGATTTCATGATATTTTTCCAGGGGAAAAGGAATTGGGGAAGTTTGATATTTTGGTCAAAATTTACTGTTCATATTACGATTTAATGAAATTCAAATGCAATTTAATGTTGCATTTTTATTAATAAAAGTATTTCTAAGGATTGACCATGAAAGAGAGTATATTAAACCTGGGTGTTACGTATTCACTGTATTAGTGCTACCTCTTAATGAATATGGAACCAGCTCTTCATAGGATTGTTTCTAGAATTGCATGAACACCTTTCCTGTATTAAGATCTGATCATTAAAATGCTGGTATTGTTTAAATGTGTATATGCAGTGGTTTGTGCCTGTAGAAAATGTATAACTTTCACAGACAGCATTTAAAATTTAATTGGGGGCATAAATAGCAAGTAATTGTAAGAATGGCTGTACTGGTCTAGTCCAAGGCTCCTAGACCAGGGTTCTGGCTTCAGCAGTGGGCATAAGCAGATGCTTAGGGAAGAGTAAGGATAGGAGAGGTGGGTAGTATTTCCTGTCATAACCAATCCAGCTTCTAACTATTTTCTGCTCAGAGAATTCCTGAGGCTGGTGCTTTTTTTTGTCTGTTTAGTAATCCTCAGTAGATCTCATTTCCAAGAATCTGTACAGTCACCCATTAAATTCTGTCAGCCTTTTGCATCCAAAACATCATTTGGCAAGGTATTGCACAGATCTTTTCCCCACTGCGTGGACAGCCACTCTTTTTTATTTGTTTTGAGCCTGACTTGTACATGTTTCATGTGATAGACCCTTGTTCTTGTATGACAAAGGATGGGGAATGGTCAGTCACTATCCACTCTCTCCATGCCACTCATGGTTTCATAGACCTCCACGATTTCTTTCCCTCAACTCCCAAGTGATCTCTTTTCCAGACTTCAGAGAAAAAGCCTACATCATCATTCCTTACGTAAAAATTGCTCCAGACACTTGATTTTTCTGGGTCACAAGGCAGGCTATATGGATGCTGGAAATAATCTAAGTAAAGTAAGGGTGATTGGATAGCCTTATTTTTCAGGTGTCTGCTTTATTCACTTCTAATGTCATTACAGCACAGTTTGTAGAACTTTTAAAGAATAATCTGCTTCGTGTTTCAAAACATGAGTTCTGGTTTAGGTAACTATTTGGATTTTAGTTGCAAACTTGTTTTAAATAGTGGAGTAAAGTAAAAGGAAATAGAACTGGAATAGACTTGATTCCTTCATAGCGTATTACTCATAGTTCAGGTTCTATTAAATGCCAGTTTTATGCTTAAGAAATCATTTTGGGTGAGGAAGCTGGCCAGAATTTTTTAACTAGGGATTCTTGATTTGATCTTGCAAGCAAAAGCATTTTGAAGTTTATCATCAACTCTAAGCAAAAATATAGACACTAAAATGGATTTTTTGCTTCTTTTTGTAATAGAACACCACCATCTTAAAAACACTTTGGCCCTCAATTAGGGAATGGATAGAGTGGTTTCAAAGTTTATTGTAACATTTTATTAGAGTATTCCTTCTGTTAATAGGAAATGGAAAATGCTTGGAATGAATATCTGAAATTAGAAAAGGATGTGAGCCAGCTGAAAAAAGCCTTACAGGAACAGATGAATAGTTCATTGGTATCTCAGGTGAGTCCATTTCCAGACGCTCGTTTACTTATGAGATGATTTTGTCTGAACTTGAAAGCTATCATCTCCTAAGAGAAATTCTCCACAATTTTTGCACTGCATTCAGCTGTCACGCAGCTTAGTTTGCAAAGTTCAGACATTGTAACAGCATAGCTGTGCAGTAACTAGCTATCTTGCAGCATGCGTAGTAGTTTCTCCTAAGTTTTCTATGCAAATTTGTCATTATTCTACTATGTTTTTATTACACGCTGACATCGTGACACTGATAACGCATTTAATTTATAAGACTATGCAGGACTTCTTAGTCTTCCATTTATTTGATCTGACATTGTTGGCTTCTTTATCCATTTTTAAGAACATCAGTCAATAGCTTGTTATTGTCATTACTTGTTCTTTATCATATTCTTCTATTTATGGAAGATTGTTTTGCGAAGTGGAATAAGTGTTTAACAGCCATCGGTAATTGAAAGACATCTTGATTTTTAAATCAGTTATTCAGTTTTGAAAGCTTTGTTTGAAGCTAAGTTATTCTGTTTGCTGAACTGGATGTGGCATACCAGATTATTTCTACATACCTCCTTACAACTGGTGATTTTTTCCTTAGAGCAAGGAATACAGTCCGGATTATTTTTCCTGTGTTTAAGCAGAACAGTTTTATTTAAAAGAGAAAATACAAGGAACAAAGCTAATGTATACATTTTGCGTAAATCTTAGCCTACTTGTCCAAATATCCTGGACCAAAAGAGCTCACTAGTTAAATTTTTAAATGTATTTATTTGCAACAAATATCTGATCAGATATTAATTGAAGTCTCTTTATTTTCACTAGAGTTGTAAAACTTTTTTAGATTGCATCAATCTTCAAAGTTAATTTTCATTTACTTTTAGTTTTGAGGGCTGGGGGAGTGATTCAATTTCTCAGCTGTAGGATACATCCCTCCAAAAAATCCCAGGGGGGATTTTAGAATAAAATAGTCCCTGTATGAAATTATTTTTTTAACAAAGGTTAATTACAGGTTTAAACAAAATATACTTTGTTAAAATACTTCAACAAAAAAAATCCAGTTGTGCATTGAGCATGCTTAAAATACTGGATGTGTGACATGTGATTTAGCAAAACATATAGAAGGCAATGTGGTTTGCATAGACAAAATGTTAATTCAGTTTTATTATCATTTTATATCACATACGTGCATAATTATAAGAAAATACACATGCGCACACACAAACATATGCATGTTATGTTTTGTGTATGTATACTTACATATGTATGCATAGATAGGTTTGTCTTTGACTAAGATTTTTAAAAATGTTTCTGTATACCTATTTTGGAGATACTAAGGGGAGCTGATTTTTTTCAGAAAGTACTGAATGTTCTTAAAACTGTATTCCTTCAAAGAAGTCTCACTGGAAGTACCCATAATAGAGAGGTTTTGATCTCTGCCAAGGGTATGAACATTCAAGGTTGTTTATCCAGTATTTTCCAATAGTACTAAATTAATACACACTGTATTTAAAAAAAATTCAGTCTTCATGGAATATTATTAAAAATTCAATAAATTTGCAGGCTCAAGTTGCTGTAGGAAACAGCTAATGATGTTTCTATATAGCATTAATTAAGAGGCTAAAAAACCTAAATGGTTCAAGCAACTCGGTCAGAGTAAATCTTGCTTTTAAGAGTGTAGGTTCATTGTCTTTTGCTTAAGGTTTGGGGAGATCTGGGCATGCTGAAATTAACTGAGATGTGGTATTTTGTCGGTGATAACTTTTTAGTTGGTAAACGTTTCTCCTCTGGTTTTATAAATCATTCTAAATGATGTTTCTGTGCAAAGGAAGTTAGAGAAATTGATTTATCTCTCCAAGTTACCTTTTCATGCTTGCTCATAAAGCATATTTATGCCCTTTTGTGAACAGCAATCTTGGCTTTCATAATTTAAAAATAAATTCATCTGTTTATCTTTTAGATCTAGTCCATTTTTGATCTAAAATACTCTCTTCACATCAATATTTAAGTAATGGGAAGAAATAATATTAAAAGATCTTCTGGGTTTTGTACATTACTGATAGAACATTTTCTGAGTGGTTTCAGAAGCAGGATTTTTTTACATGTGAGGGGTTTTTAACCAGTTCTGAGGCTTGATTATTGTAAATCCATCATTTGGTTCCTTGTGGTATGATTAATCTTAGGAAAATGAAATGAAACATGCAAATTTATAGTTTATATCCTGACAATCTTTCAAGATATGTCCCATCAATCGAGTGAGTTTACTACGGGCAAATAACATTCTCCATCATTTAAATGTTTGTGTTCTTGGCACCCTGTTTGCTGATCTATAACCTGACTGAACATATTTTCTGATCTAAGACAGAAAGTGGTAAGCAATTTATATGCCTGCCTTAGCTCTATGAAGTGTAAGAGCTTTTACTAAAGTTTTTCTCTTTCAGGTTTATAGGATTAATTAGTGGTTATTTTGTAGCTCATGGCAAGTGATGAATTTCTAGAGTTCTTGAACAGTTCATAAGCGATTCTTAACTAAAGTGTTTCACTGCCTTCTGCTTTCTTTAATAATACTGTTTTTTTCTTGGTTTTACTAAGTTTATTCTTAATGCAAATTTTTCAAGGCAGAATTACCAGGTTTTGATTAAGTAGATGAGAATAGCTATTTATGATGATTGCAGTGAACATCTGATTGAAGTGGTGGCTTCAGCAGCCAAGGCCTCTAGCTGCAGGATGCATTCAAAGGCAGAGACCAGACTGTAGACAAAGCTTCCCTTTCTTCCTGGAAAGACTCGGTAAAGCAAATAGGATGCAAGATGAGACCAAATCCTGAACAGCAGCAATATATTGTTTCAGACTATAACACATCATGTCCATTAGGCCTAACAACCCAAATATAAGCAGAAATTAAGTTTGTCAGCCCTTCTGAGTTAGTTTTGGTTTTATATTTCATCCATTAAAAGCCATGAGGAAGTTTACAGCAGTATTCAGGGAGACTATACTAATTTTTTACTTTTTTAATATTGGACATCTCCCCTAAATATACAAGATGAATTTCTTAAGGCTGCCTTAGCAGTCTTAAGTGTGTTAGTATAGGATTTAAGAACAAAGTTTAAATTAAAAGGTTCTGTAAGCTCATTTTATGTAGAACATTAAACTAGGTTTATGTAGCCTGAATAATATTGTAGAGAAAAATGTAGATGCGTCTCTTTCCCCCAGTCTTCTATAGGAAGTCTTCCAAGACTCAGGAAACACTCTAATAAATTTAATGGACAAGATATGTTGGTTTGTGTTGGTAGGGGTTTTTTAAAATTTTAAAATAATTATTTAACTCATTTCTAGACTCCTAAGGTTTCATGTAAGTTCTGAAACATTAGTTTGGTTTTGGTATCAAAAGAAGGATAAGCCCATAATAAATTAAAAAAGATATAATTTTTTTCTCTTTTTCTTCTGCTACAAACATCAGGAGAAAACACAAATACAAAAAGACTTGTGGAGAATTGAAGATGTTATAGCTGGCTTGAGTGCGAATAAAACAAACTACAAAACCATAGTAGACTCTATAAAGAATCCAGGTAAGGAGAACATAATTAAAACATTAAAAAATATACAAATGCAGCTGAATCTTTGGGTTTGTGCAAATAGTCTAGAAGTTTGTTCTACTGCAGGAAATCTAGTTAATTCAGCTATTGGTTGCATCAGAAATCTCTGTTGATCAAACACATCACCTTGGCATTTCTTTGGTTGAGGTGGCAGAAAGGTATTTTGTTGTTTGTTTTCACATACTGATGGCACTAAAATGTAACAAGCCATAATAAAGGCAACAATAATAATGATGATGATGTAAATTCTGCAAGTTGCAGATAGAGTTTCTGTCACATGCCAGGCTTATACCAGCATAGTATCTATTCTACATTCTGTCCAGGAACTCCTCTCTGTGTTCTTCTCTACTTTTTTGTTTTGGTTTGGTTTTTTTCCCCCCATGGATGCTGCCCAGCTGCCCTTGCTGCAGTTGCCTTCCCCTCTCTCTCAGGCAGGTGTTTGGGGTGCAGAGCAACATCATCAGCTATGGAAGAGGGGAAGGGAAAGTGTGTGTGGTCTGCATTTCAATTGCTTCATTATGTTTCAAAGAAAAGACCTAAGGCATTGGGATAGCAAGAGACTCTTAATGCCTCCTGTAATTTCACTTTATGTTAAGTATCTTTCTTACCTTTTACATACAGAGATAAAGTAGTTCTGAAGTGGTGAGATCTTATTTTATTTAAGGTATGTCTATGAGTGCTTAGCCTTATCTAGATCTATAGGCATCTTAAGGAATCTGTGGCATGGGGCCAGATACAGCCTGTGAACTGATTTTGTACAGCTACGGCTTTTCCTTCCTTCCCTCCCACTGCCACCTCCAAGGAATTTTACTGGATGATATTAAAGTGTGTGGTTTTTTATTTTTGGCCTGAAAGGCTTGCTTGAACCTCATCAAGAAAATGTTTTCCACCCACTGTAACAGTCAAACGTTCTTATGTCCAAAAAAACCCCATTTGTGTTCAAAGCAACATGCAGAGTATTAGGGCTGTTTTATGAAGTCTAAGGATGCTAATTGCTATTCTTATGAACATTATTGATAAGAAACACCACCTAACGCATTTGTATATTTCTCCCCTAGAGAGAAAAATAGTGCCTTCATTTTCTCAGTCTTCAGTGCCTTCCTTACCAGCTTCCCTCGCAACTGCGGAGAGCAAGCTTTCAGTCCCACAAAGCCCTCCACCCAGTCCGGTTAAATCCTCTCTGGAGGTTAGGCTGTATCCACAGCCTTATTTCCAGGCCAGGATGCAGCCCCAAGCACAGCAGCTGAAAAAAATCGAGCCGCCTCTTCAGTCACCAATTAAGCTAAAGCCAAAGGTTGTAAGTAGTGCTCTTGTGAGATTCATCCACCAATGTTTCCATGTACTTCTGGCAGAAACAGTGAAAGCTTCATGGTTACAAAGCGCACGCAGTGTGGAGGCACAACAGGGAGACACTTCAGGTGGTCGTATGGAAGCTGAGCAATAGCACTTACAGGAGAATATATGTGTGTAACCCGGAGCTCTATGTGCAGTAGCCATATACTGGTTTAGAACATACTGATGCAAAGCCTTCCTTGGTAATGCTTTGTGGTTGATTAGTTGTTCTCTTGAGTCTTGTTTGATTTTTAAAGCCTCAAGCTCCTGATGTGGACAGAGGAGAGCATGCTAAAGAAGTCACAAATACCTCATATAATGTAATGAGCTTTCAGACAGTTTATGCCAGACTGTTTTCAGACTGTTTGCCAAATACCTGTACTTTCCTGTTACCAGGAAGATGAAGCACCGCCCAGACCTCCTCTCCCTCAGTTGTACAGTCCTGATGATCAGCCACCAGCTGTTCCACCTCTCCCGAGAGAAGCCACTGTCATCAGACACACATCAGTGCGTGGCCTGAAACGTCAGTCAGATGAAAGAAAGAGGGACAGAGAACTCGGACAATGTGTAAATGGAGATTACAGGGTGAGCATTCATACACCTATACACCTGCACTTTAAAGATATGTGAGTCTGTAATAAAAGATACTGCCTGTAAAACACATGGACCTCTAGGTCTTGTAATAAGGAGAGCAAGCTAATGGCAGAGAGATAGTAATGGCAAGGAGAGATCTATGCCATATAATAATGGCAGAGAGAGATTTCATAATCCAGAAACAAAGCTTTAGGACTTGTTTTAAGATCATTAAGACTTGCTATCTGTGACTTCATTTGAGCTGATGAGTATTTTTCCATATAGGTGGAACTGCGTTCATACATGAGTGAACCAGAACTAGCAATGATAGGTGGGGACCTCAGCCAACCTTCCAGTGGTTTAATAAGCTCTGACAGTGGATACCAGACATTACCTACCCGTGGTAAGCCAGGAATTTGTGTCATTGATTTTTAACAGTACTGTCTGTATAGGAGCTTTTCTCTTCTAGGATTTTTTTGGATATGGTCTTTATCGTCAGATCATGATTTTTAGATTAACTATACAATGCTGTGAAAGTCTAGAAATTTTGTGCATTTTAATGTTGCTGTTACAGACAACCAGCCTTTTGCAAAGCAACTTAGTATATAATGCTTAAAAAAAAGGCATAGAAAAACATGGAATTAGCTGTTAGAATGTCTCCTATATTCCAAATTATTTTTCTATGTAATTTTTGTGTGATCTTTTACAAACTCAAGTATTTTTTAAACACTTATATTGCCATTGAAATGAAAGCAATAAAGAATAAGAATATAATGTCCCCAGACTCTACATGTGACTTGACAATCCATCCCCACTGTGCTACAATCCTTTTTCACAAATGAGGGTAGAGAAGGTATTTTGGGAAGAGCAATTAATTTCTTCGTCATTCTCTTTTTTGGTTTTTTTTTTCTTTCCTTTCTAACTGGGAATGTTAAGGTTTGATTTTCTTCATAGATTTGTACAGCTTATCTACTGTTGTACAGCTGACTTCAACCCATACCTCAGTAATATAAGCTTGTAAGTTATTGTACATCTGTTTGTATTTTGATTAATAGTGACTTCAAATGCAATACTTTTGGCTGAAATGAAATTTCTTGCCTCTCATGATCTTCTGAACCACAAAATATGAAACGTGAGCTAAAATAGTAGCCAGAATATCATAGAAAAAGCATGATAATATAAAAAATATCTAACGCTTGTCTTCATTTTGTCTGTCATTTGGTTTTAAAGCATTCTCTTTTCCTTATGAAGGTTTATCTGGATCAACTTCCAGATTGCACCAATCGTCTACCATTTCAACATATGCAACACTTCGAAGGGATAGGTCCAAGGTAAGTTTCGAATGAACATCTGAAAGCAAATGTCTGAACCATTCAAAATAGTTAAGCCCGGAATATATTTTGCATAGCAGGAGGTGGGATTGTAGTAGTACAGGAGAGGACCCAGCACCTCTGATCTAATAATCTCCAATTTTTCACTTTCTTAAATGAATCAGGCAGCTTACTGCATTTGAAAGAGATTTATAAAACAAGGTTTAGAACTAAAAATCAGTACTGATAGAAAATACAGATCTGAAATATGCAAAATAATGCAAAACATAGTAGAACAAAATAATGTTAATTTAGTAATAAGATAGGAGAAAGAGTTAATTTTTTGTATACTACTTATAAAGTATTAATTACAACATGTGTTTTGTGTGCCTTGTGACTTTTACAGGAGAGACCAAAGAGTGCCTTGGAACGTTTATACTCTGGAGACCACCAAAGATGCAGGATGAGTGCAGAGGAACAACTAGAAAGAATGAAGCGACATCAGAAGGCATTAGTTCGTGAACGCAAGAGAACTCTTAGCCAAGGAGAAAGGCAGTCTGTTTCATCTCGGTCTTTCATCAGGCCCATTTCTGCCGACATAGGCTCAGTATGTTAGATATGCCTTAAAAGGACTAAACTAAAAAAAAATCTTTGGATATTTTTTTTTTCCCCTAGCAAGCACTTTCACTTGAGTGTGTGTGAAGCTTCTAGTCTAATTAATTTAATATTATACAGTATAAAATGAGTTCAGAGAGTGTGAGTAACAGATGATCTTTTTTTTACTAGTAGTTACGGTATATAGAATGTAGCAGGTTCAGCA